TCCCTCCTGTAAAAGGATTCAATTCTTACAGCTCTGGGGGAAGAAAGGAAAAGCTCTGGGGAGAAAGACAACTGCTTTCAAGGCTCCGCCGGGGAGAAAAGTAACAGTTCTTACAGCCAGCCTTGGCTGAAAAATACAGCCAGCTTTTGCTGGGAAGAGAAATGGTACCACAACCTTCATCAAAAATCTAAAGGACGCCAATTTGGCAGACCCACAGAAGGCTTTCCCTGGTAAGGGCACTCGGGTTTCCACAAAGCAGATTAGAACCAGGAGCAGGGGCCTCATGCCAGTAAAGTGAAAGACGTTTTCCCAAGGAGGAGTCAAAGGGTTTTCCCCAAGGAAAAGGAACAGTTTGTTAAGCCAGTTGCCTGACCCTTGTGGGCAGAATAAGAAAGCCACCCGTTTTTCAGAGTTATGAAGTATTTGATTAATTTGTTGAAGATTTAATAACCAATAAAGAACTTTGTTGAACTTTCTAAGCCTCTACAGAACTTTGTTTTGGGAAAGATGCAGATCAAGAATGGGGCTCCGCAGCCACCTATGGACCCACGGCCAAGAGACTACACTTGGAAGACCATCATCTTCGGACTATGAGGGATCGCCTCAGTAAGTAATTAAGTACTAAGCCACTCTGAGCCTCAAATTGGGAAGACGATGTGGTAACAATAACAACAACATTAATAATGTCACTTTCAGAAACTATTATTGCAAATATGTGGATGAAAATAAGATATAGCACAGCCCACAATTGGTACATTCATTCCTTTGCTGATGGCTGGAAGGGAGAATATGGCCATTTTTATATTTAATTATTTATTTCTGTTCTTTAATAATTAATGACAATATCTTGGCAATTTTCTGTCTTACTGGCTCAGTCTTCAAAAGATTCCCAGTGCTGAGCTATACTTTGAAACACTTGATAACACAAAGTATAAATTTATCTGGAATTTTAAACTGTAGAAAAATCTTTTGCATCACACAGAAGATTAGTGATATATCAAGTGAAAGGAGCAGAACCCAGATCTTAGATACTGATTATCTTTATTTCCTCGAAGTGTCATTTTGGTATGTCACACTTGAAGTGTAATAGAAAACCCCTCCCTGATGCTCATCTGAAGTTATTTTCTCACTTCTAGGTGTGGAATTTCTTCTGAAAGCAGAGAACTGATTAACACAGGTATATTTATGGTCTAGAAGGAGAATGCCTCAAGACGTTATATTTGTGCTTGGAAAGAAGCAGATGTGATTGCAAAAAGGTAGGTCACTCTGTGTCTATGTGACGTTAATTCTTCCTTTTCTGTCTCGCTACTTCCATCACTCCTGAATATTTGGCTATTTTGCTTAAAATATTTTGTCCCAATCTTTATCAAAATGATGTTGAACCAACTTTCGGGCTGCATCTACACTGTAAAATTAATGCAGTTTAACACAACTGACATTGCTCAATGCTTTAGAATCATGGAATATGTAGTTTTACAAGGTAATTCGGCATCTCTCTCCAAAAATAATTATGCCTCACTGGAGTATATATCCAATGATTCCATACAATTGAGCCATGTCCATATATATATATATATAGTGTCAAACTATCTTATTTCTAAAGTGTAGATGCTCCCTATGTGCTCCCGTCATACCCATCCCTCACCTTCCCTGTAGTGTTATACTTTTGAACTCTAAAAATGTAGGGTGAGTCTTCTTCCAACTCTGATTCTATCTTTCTCTATATCTTTATTTGTATACCTGTAATAAAAGTGAAAACATATGTAATATTTAGGCATGTGTGATCTACTAAAAATGTTTCAAAAGTCATTACAAAATTAGGGGATGCTAGCATTTTGTTTCTAAAGTGTTTCTAAAATATAATTAGTGAAAATGTTTGTACTATAACATGACTAATGAAATTTCGTTACTTTTTCGTTATAGTAATTGCATATAATTTATATAATTGGGTAAACTTCAGGGGCTCATTTTCTCCCTCTGTTGGGGTGAAACATGCTACAATGGTAGAACACATTGACCACTGTTAGCCCATCAAGTTTCAGAATGGTTCACTTATCCACAGATTTTTGGGGAATTTTCAAATGTTTTATAAACAACATTTATAAGGAAAAACTACAAGAGCTATCTCCTTGAATTTTTTTATACAATGACACAAGATAACAGGGAATCATTCCCCACAACTTTCAGAAATATTCATACATCTACCAATTTTAGGGAATTTTTAAAATTTTGACAAAAAAAATAAGCCACAACAGTTATCTTATTGAATATTTCTCATATTAACCAATAGAAACCAACATTAACCATTTTTATATTTTCATAGAAAAATAAAGTTGGAGCGTACCCCCAAGGGCCATCTAGTCCAACTCCCTTCTTCCAGGCAGAAGGCACTACAACAGATGGCCTGACCTCCAACTGTCTGCTGTATCACTGCCACCAATTTACACCGACCAGTCTGACTGAACATCAGAGTTAGCCCTCATTCCACAGATATATAAACCCAATTTTCCTAGTTTCCAACAGACCTCACAACCTCTGAGGATGCTTGTCATAGATGCAGGTGAAATGTCAGGAGAGAATGCTTCTAAAACATGGCTATATAGCCCAAAAAACCTACAACAACCCAGTGATTCCAGTCATGAAAGCCTTCAATAATACATTGACTCAATGTGATTCTTGGTTGCATCAATAGGAGCATAGTTTCATGATTGAGGGAAGTCATAGTGCTACTCTACTCTGTTTTGGCCAGATCTCACCTGGAATACTCACCTGTGTCCTGTTCTAGACACCACAATTCAAGAAAGATATTGACATACTGGAATGTGTACAAAGAAGAGCGACACAAATGATCAAATGTTTGAAAGGCAAACCCTATGAGAAATGGATGCAGAAGCTTGGTATGTATAGTAGGCTTGGTCTATGAGATGAAATACTGTACTCTGCCCATCTTCATTATCAAGCCTCATTCATTTTAGGATATATCTCAGGTCCCAGCTATCTCACTGTCCCAATCTGCCTGGGACCCAAGATCCTTGGTTAGTGGGAAAATGAGGGTGGGCCTTCTCATTTGCTGCCCCTTGACTCTGGAATTCACTGCCCAGGAAAGGCAAACTGGCTCTCTCCCTGCTGTCCTTCTGTCAGCAGGCTGAAACCTTTGTATTCAGGCAGGATGTTACAAAACAGGCTTTTAAAGATCAAACCAGGGGCTGCTATATATATATATATAGCAGCCCCTGTATATATATATATATATATCATATTTGTTTAATCATGGTTGCACTCAGGCCTGTAGCAAGGAAGGGGGGTTAGGGGTTCAACCCCCCCCCCGAAATGTTTCAGATTTTTTTTAAAAAAACCTGGTTTACTCATGAATTTTAACTGGTTAACCAAATCCCCATGCTAAGTCTATGAGATGCAAAAAATTAAGAGTCCCTCCAGAACTGCCAGCACTATCTCAAGCAAATATTGACAATTTATTCACACTGTCATTACTTGCAGCAATAGCCGATGTAGTGAAGCAACCAAGTTTGGGGGGGGGTTGAATGCTCTCATTAAAGGTGATGGTACTCACCTTTAAGGCCTTGCATGGTCTGGGGTCGATGTACCTGAGGGACCGCCTCACCCCTACCAACCCCGTTCTTGAGGACCAAGATTTGTTGTAAATTCCCAATGTCAGGACCTTGCGTCTAACAGCAACCAGACGCAGAGCTTTTACAGCAGTGGCACCATCACTCTGGAATACTTTGCCACCTGAAGTCCGTGCCTTGCAGGACTTATCAGTTTTCCGCAGGGCATTTAAGACATATCTGTTTCGACAGGACTTTGATCTTTGATATTGCTGTTTTTAAATTGTTTTAAATTGTTTTTAAATTGTGTTAGATTTTAGCCTGTTCTTGTAAGCCGCTCCAAGCCCCAGGGGAGTGGCGGCATATAAGTTTGAATAATAATAAATAAATAAAATAAGGAGGCCAGACTTGGTGGAGGTGGTTGACAGGGGTGGAGCTGCAGGCTATTGAAGGCTGCTCTGCCCCCTGCTGTGCTCTTGGCTTCAGCGTGAGCTAGGAGGCAGGTTTCAACCCCCCCCCCCCTGAAATTTTCAACCCCCCCCCCCAAAAATTTCAACCCCTCCCGAAATTTTTTTCTGGCTACGGCCCTGGTTGCACATGGCCTTCAGATGACCATGACCCTTTCCTTGCCCCAATTATATTGGTTTGTGCAGTGCCCACCAGGCATGTAAATGGAATTGGTCACTGCTTAGACCTTGCAATGGCAATACCTAGAATGAAAAAGTAAAAAGAAAGAGATGAGGGGGGAAAGAAGAAATTGCTCTCTCCTTTTGTCCCTCCTTTATCTGGTCACCGCATTGCTCTGGGTATTGTGAATAAAGAGATGTCATTTTCATGCTTAGTCAGTAACACAAATAACAGAATGATGGGAACTGATGGATGCTATCACCTGTCCCCGGACTGCCCAAGCACAAAGAAAGCAGGATAGGGGTGTAACGTCAACTAACATGACCTTTGAACTTTTGCATCACCCAGAAAGGCCAGACTAAGTTCCTTTAACAGGTTACTGGAGCATGGCTCCCCACAATCCTACTAATAGCCTTTGTGTGAGTGCAGATGCCACTGCCTTCCCTTTCTGCTTATCCTACTTATACAGCAAGGACTGGGAGACTTGGGAATGTAGTTCCATCTTCCTGAACACCTATAACAGTTATCAAAAGGCTGATCATCCCTTTCTGGATAGTAAAGATCTTTTTCCAGATTAGAAAGACAGGGCTGAACCCACAAGCCTCTATCCCACACACACATTTCTTGAACATTCTTTGTGTAAGGGTGAAGGCCACCTCCCATAATATTCAGGAAAATACCATGCACTGGTGTAACTAAGGAGGGCAAGAACATATCTTATGGAAAGGATCCCAGCCTGTAGGGACATTGTTTATTAATCCGATACATAGCTGAGAAGTAATTCTCCCTCTCTCTTTTCTCTTGTAGGAATCAAGTCCAGAAGAATTTCCGCCAGTTAGTACCCTTTTCTTCAAACTTTTTAATCGAATATAAAGCAACTGAGTTACAAATTCATGCTTATATTATGGAAAGGTTTATAGTATCCACCATTGTTTTTCTGATCTGCCTTCCTGGACTTGTAGGGAATGGAATAGTCATTTACCTTCTTGGCTTTCACATTAAGAGAAATCCTTTCACCACCTACATACTGAACCTCTCCATTGCTGACTTTGGACTGCTAACAGTGGTAGTTGCACACAATATTTTTTTGATTTTAAACTTGCTTGGTGAGATTTCCTTTATGAAATATCTAGATGTTCTGCATGATTCCATCTTTCTGTTCACATTCTTGATCAGCCAGTTCCTATTGACAATCATCAGCATTGATAGGTGTGTCTGCCTCTTTTTCCCACTTTGGCATCGATGCCACCGGCCACCACATTTGTCCACTATTGTTTGTGTCATCATCTGGATCCTCAGCTTCTTGATATCTTCTACAAATGCCATACTCATTGTCACTATTCATTTTAAATGGATAAACACTGTCCATTATTTCTTGAATGTTGCAATTTTCATGCCCATCATGTGTGTGTCCACTGTAGCCATGTTCATCAAAATCTCCTCAAGACCACAACAAAATAAGCGGGTGAGATTGTTAAGAGCTATTTTGTTGACACTTATCTTCTTCTTGCTCTTCACTTTTCCATTTAATGTTATTCATATTCTTTTCATTTTTGAAAAAGTTGAACGCCATTTCTTTACATATGCCTACCTATGCGCCTCTCTAAACAGCACTATTAACCCCATGATCTATTATTTGGTGGGAAGAGATAAAAAAGGGGAAGCCAGCAAAAAAATAAATATAGTACTTGAGAGACTTTTCAAAGAGGAGGAAGACTATAGGAGAGAACAGGAAAACCTCAGCTGACTGCCCAGTTTGATGCCAGAAACAGCCTTAAGCATAAGTGAAAGCGAATACTTCAGCCAAAATAAAGATAATACACTGTCTTCAAGTAAACATAAAACAGAAATCTTCACATCAGACAGCAAATTAAAGTCTTTGATGATAACACACAGTGTTCAAACAAACATAAATCAGAAGTCTTCAATAAGACAGCACATAAAGTCTTGGAAAAACAAACAGGCTTACAAGTTGCAAACAAGAGCCTTTAGAGATCAGACACTGGAACAATGGCAGGGTGCTGATAACAGGAACTCCTCCGAAAATAGGTCAATTGCAGCCAGCACTGAGCCTCTGACTTTGCTGCTAATTTATAGCCATTGATGTGCAGGCACAACTGTACCAGGAGCTCCAATTTTGTTTGCTTTGCATTGAATGTTTGTTTGTAGTCCTAAGTTTCAAGGACTCTGCAGATAGGTGGCTTCTTTTGGCTGCAATCATAGGGGAAGCCACCTGTCAGTTATCGTTAGGTTCCCTGGTCCCGCCCCCTTTTGGGGTTTTTTAGGGTATAGGAGCCATTTTGGGCCAGTCCACACAGAGAAGCTTTCCATGCAGGACATAATACCAAGAGCTCCTGTAGAAAGCTTTGTCTTCTACAGGCTTGGCCGGGAGATATACAGCCTACAGCTTGGCCGGGATATACAGCCTTACAGCTCCTTTGCTGAGGGACTTCAGCCAGCCATCACAGAAACCTGAACTTCTTTTCCCCTGGAAGTCTACAAAGCTCTGCTTGGTAAGGGTCTTTCGCGGAAGCCAGACGCAGTTGGTACCGGGTGTAGGGGCTCCACACCAACAGAGGCAAAGAAAGACTGCCCAGATTAGAAGTTAAGGATTTCCCCATTAGTTAAAATACCAGTCATGAAGATAGTGCCTGTTCCCTGTGGACAAGATTGAAAGAGCCTATAGACTGTTAAGAAAGCCTTAAAGTACCTGTTTGTTTTCATTAATAAAGAACATTGTTGAACCTTTAAGCAATCTAAAGACTCTGTTTTAAGGAAATCCAAGGGCCTTTAATCTGAGGCAGCCCTGGCGTCCCGTTGGGCACACAGAATTTATGTCCTGTCTACAGTCTTATGCACAGGCCCAGCGTGCGACAGCACACTTGACTTCCCATCACAGCTGTCCCTCGAGCGTGATCTGATTGCTCAGTATTTTCTCTGCTAGCCTTGCTAATCTGCTTCTGCTCTCTTTCTCTCTTCCACGTTCCAGCAACATAAGGATTTCTGATATATCTACCACCTCTCCTGCTCCTTCTTTTTTCTCACCGCTAAAACCCAAATCCCCAAGTGCTGCTTCTTCTACCACCTGTCCTCCTTCTCCCTCAGAATCAGAAGAGCAGTCCATGACACTGAGCCTTGGTTAAAGGGTTTTTTTAAAATCTGACATTAGTGTTTTGAAAATGGATTAGAAATACTCTTTTATATTCATCACATAACTCCTGACTTATTTGAGTTATTATGTGCATTTTCATTCTTACCTATATTTACTATATAGTGCCATCTTTCAATTCACATTCTCTGCTAACCAGAGAAGTAGAGGCACATAAGCAGAGAGCACTTTTGTACCTAGGCCACCAGCCAACAGATTTGTCAACTGCTGTGTATGTCACCATAAGGATCCTTGCTTTCTTAGCATTTGCTACAAATTTCACCCTCTCAGTCAATATTCAGCTTTACAATTTCTGGATATATGCACTCTTCTAAAAATGCAGTATTTCTCATGCCCATCATATGTATATGCACTATGGTTATGTTTGTTAAAGTCTGCTTAAAACCATCACAACAGATGCAGGAGAAACTCTTAAGAGCCATTTTCCTTACATTTGCCTTCCTCCTCCTCAATGTATATATCTATGCCAGCATAAGCATAATTCTAAACAGCACCATTA